GAGTGATAGTGAGCCGTTTGTTCTTGACCTCTGGATCACCCTCCAGATCAAATTCCTGGACACAGGACAAACCCAGCAGTGTTCATTAGAAGCTTTGTGCTCCGCTGCCGAGAGGCGCTCAGGATATCGCTGCACAGCGCTGCTGCCGGCAGGCAAGGGCTCTGTCCCACCTTCTCCCGGGGAATTCATCCGCATCGCAGCGATGCAAACCCCAGATTCCAGTCAGTATTGGAGTAATTGATTGTCATCTTCTACGTTCGTGGCGCTTTTCAGTTACCCACGGAGCGCTGGTTCTGCTAACCACCGGCATACATTGATTGCACTGAATGAGATTTACACCACACATTTCTGCCTTCAGAAAGATCTCTGTGTCTCCAGTTATCTAAGCAAATATATAGATGGAAAGTCTATATATTCATTATTTATATTTATTTTATAGATATAATTTTATATATTTATGTATTATCATGTAGATACTTATATATATTTATATATATTTACACTACACATTTCTTCCTTCAAAAAGATACATATATCTCCAGTTACTTGAACAAATACATATGCTGAAGTTATATATATTTATTTATTTCTATTATTATATATATTTATATATTATATTTATATATTTTTATATATTTAAACTACATATTTCTTCCTCCAAAAAGATACCTCCATATATCTCTAGTTATTTAAACAATTATATAGGCTGAAAGTCTATATATTTATTATTTATATATAATAACATATAAAAATGTATATTTATATAGTATCTTGTAGATATTTATACATATACTTTTATATTTATATATATTTACACTACACATTTCTTCTTTCAAAAAGATACCTATATCTTCAATTATCTAAACAAATATATAGGCTGAAAGTCCCAGGCCTCCAGTTTTACTTCTCCTTCTGGTAGATATGAGTGGAGTTTGCTGACATACTTTCATAACTAAAAATGATGTAAAGGATTGCTTTGTTAGATTAATTTACACTTAGAGCTTTTGATTTTTTCTGTGAAATTCTTATGCAGAACAGAATTTAAAATCTATAAATAAGCCTATTTCCTCCTTCTTCATAAAACTAAGAATCACGAATTTTGATGCACACAAAATAAAGTACATCAGAACACTTTTTCTTTTCAGCTACTTTTCTCTTTCAAACAGGCAAAACCCCACAGAAGTTACCTACAGAGCTAATCAGCAGAACAAAATAAAACAGTGAAAAATATTCTTCCTGAGCAATTGTTTCTGTCAAAATGTGGTTTAAACAAATTCTGGCTCCAGTTAACTGCAGTTCTCTGGTGGTTTGAGTGCTTTTAAAGCTTCATTAGAAAACACACGCTGTGAGAATATTTGTATCCAAATGTCTACAGCATACTATGGTAAATCCAGCCCTCAGCACGGATGAACAATTTCAAATAAGATTAAAAAAAAAACCAGCACATATTTGAAAATAACATTTGAATATAAGTAAAACTTACACTAATTCACTTATGCATATTCAGCACCCAGAGCTGCAGTAAAAACAGACTGTGTCTCCTTCCCCTTTCACAGATACATCAGCATGAGTTATGCTTATGTTTACTTCATAGGGGGAGTTTAAGATTTAAAAATTCATAAATCCATCACTGGTTTATTTTCCATCCTGTTTAATAAGAAACCTCAATCTCGAATTTCCCAAGGAAGAAATATTTTCACTGGAATCATACAGAATTTTTTACTGCATAAACTATCAATTTTTTTCCCAGCAAACAAGCCAAGTTCATAGGGCAAAGTCAGAAGGAAGAGAAAGGAGGGGAATGTTTTTGTGGATTGTTATCTATAAACCAAATGGAAAATCTTCAGCCATTTTGTTCCTTCAAGGTACATCAAAGAATCTCCTGTTTAAGGTGTGAAAATGTCAGTTAGATTCTTCACCTCAGAAAATGAGAAGAGCTCTGAATGCGATTTATGTCCCACCCTTGCACTTTTCTCTTTTAGGAGATGATACTCTTCTTTTCAACTTCCCTCCAGCTAATGCCATTTAATACTCTCAGAACTATCAGGCTAAATTCAGATTTTCTGCTCCTCAGAGGCTGTTGTTATGCACCACAGCACATTCCAATTGCAAATACACATGAATGCTCCCATGTATTGTAAGTTATTTTTTACTCACAAATCCTGCTAAATTGTAAGTTAGGAGGCCTACTTGAATTCTCGTAGGTCTTTAGAAAGCTTTTAAATGTACCATGAGTAATAACATGTAATGAATATGAACTGATATTTCTTCTCTGTATTTACACTGAGTTGGCAATTTACATTTTCTAGATAGATGACTTACAGCCAACCTTCCCAGTACTCAGGCAATTACTTCTTAGAAACCCCTGACAGGCTCAAACCTCCAGAATCACATCTGTTATTCTTGGTTTGAGCCCTCTTTTTAAAATTAAAACCAGTAGCTTTATCAGCAAATGAGAATTTTTTTCCCCCCTCTGGAAATACTTACAAAACTGCACATAAATTGAACATGCCAACTTATCTCACGTTAGGGTTGGCACATCTCCTGGGTTAATGACCAGTGCTCCAATTCTGTGACAGAACTAATTGGGGTAAGGAGGCTGTAAATACACACAAACCCCCACAAATTCTCTTCCTTGAGGGTAATCAGAAGATTTACAGGAATGGAGTAAGCTGTGATTGGAGGGGAGAGAGTATAAAAATTTAGGAAGTCGTAAAACGCCTGTCTGATCATCCTGTCTCAGTTTCTAGGCACAGAACAAAATTAGAGCAGATTTTACTAATATCTGATGGGCCTTTTTCTTCCTCTGAAAGACTGGCTAAAATACAAAAAAAAACAAACAAAAAAAAAAACCCAAAAAAAACCAACTAGTAAATTTTCATATTTTCTAACAACTGTCATTATTAAAAAAAAAAAAAAAAAAAGAGAGAAAATGCATGGACAGTACCACATTTCTGCTCTCAACACGGACTGGCTGATAGATCTAAAAAGCTTTATTGAAAATACAGCTCAACTCCACACCAAGAGGTGCTCAAGACATGATTTGACAACAGTTTTTGGCAGCTAAACACAAATGAAGATCAAGAGAGTGAAGTCCTCACTTGATTTGAGCTCAGTGTAAATTTCTAACAATCCAGCTTCATTTATCATGCATCACTAATGGGAAAAATCCAGTTATCAATGGATTATGGGAAAGATTAATTCAGGTTTGTCTTCCATGACTAGGTCAGGAGACGTATGTCATTCTCTTTTTACAGCTAAGACAACTCAGGGCCTTGATGTGACGTCCCTTAATATTCCAGAGCAAACATTCTAAATCCATGTGCACACCTGCAAATGGAAAGAACTTCTAAATGCAGCATGAACTTCTAAATGTCTCTTCTGGAGACAAACGGAGGGCAGATTTCCATTATGGATTTGGGAAGGAAAGGAGAAGAAAAAAGAAAATTATAAATTACCAGTAAATATAAATGTAAATGTAAAGGTGCATCACATGGTCCTCTCCTGTGTTCTCCGGCAGTGCTGCAGGAAGCTGAGCTCATTAAATCTGATCTAAATAAATTTGCAAATATGCCTGCACTTCCTAACCCAAGTCTGATGCACACACACAAAAGCAGCTAAACACAATCCCAACTTCAGCAGCAAACCTTCCTCAGCTCCTCAGCCTGCAGCAAGCTTCAAACCAACCCCACTACCCAAGCCCTTCTGTGCTGCTGTTACAAAAAAATTACTTTAAACTGTCTTGAGGAGATGATTTCTAACCTGAATTAAGATCATCTTTCCCAATTTGCTGATATTGCAGGATTTAGGGCATTACTTTTTTTTTTTTTTTAGCTAAGCAATGTCAGGCTGATTTAAACTAGTAGCTAAAGGCTATGACTTAAATTAAAAGATTAGCAGCTAAAGTCAAGAATGTGAGATACAGAGCTAGATCACAGTTTTCCAGCCAGCACTAATGCATACAATATGACCAAGAGAAAGCATTGTCAGAAGCATCAATGTGAGTGGTGTCACACCAACCACCAAGGTCTCCAGGCCATGACAACAAAGATGAGCTGAAAGGGAAAATTTCTAATCCATGTATAGGTTTGTCCCATTTCCTGGTTCAACCCCTCACCTACTCTCACCTTTAAAGCAAGGCTGACATCAAAAAAAAGTTATAAGCTCATAATAAGCCCTTCTTATAGGTGTGCATAAATTAGCATGTCGGTGCTTCTGCTGACAATTGAGAATTCCAAGCAACAGAATGATTATCACCATCACTCAAGTTCAGGTCTCTGCTAAAACCTGAGAGGACTGTGGCTGTTCTCAGCATGAGAATTTAGAACAAGTGCTACCCAAGGCTCCAGAGAAAGATGTCAGGCATCACAATTAAATGACATGTAGAAAAAACAAGGCAGGATCTCCTTAGCACCAAACTGGGCAGCAATCTTTCCTGCATGACACGCTTGACACATGGGTGGAATGAAACCAAAACCCGTTTGAAATTCTGTTATCACAACTTTACAAGCAAAAGAAAACAATGCCTAGAACTGCTCAAAAATAGGGCTTAAAGCACCTGCTCCTTGTCCCCTTACGCTGTGTGGGTGTTAAATGCCACCACACTATTCTATTAGCACAGCAAATATAGATATAAATAAGTCAGCAGTATAGAATGCAATAGAGTCCCTAATGCATCCCAAAATGCCACCACAATTCATCCACAAGAACAGAGTTGGTATTGACTCCACAGTTTAGGTACATTTAGCAGGCAGAACACAAATAGTTACAGCTCCTTTTGTCATATTTCACACACTTGGCTAAATAGCGATTATCTATCCAAAAAAGAAAAGGGGAAAAATTTTAAAAAAAGAAAAGCAACTGTGTCAGAATGGTTACAGCTAAATATGATACTGTTCTGCAGGGTAATGCAACAAAGCAGCTTCATGCAGATTCAACAGGAATGATTCCTGCTGGGGTTCAAGCAATAAACAGCAAAGAAAGTTTAAATTGAGACTTACCACGGGGCACCATATATTCGGAATCCTTTAACTGTTACCTCTGAATCTTGTAAGTAAATACTATTTGTCAGGAGTGACTGAACATTGTCAAAGTCCTCTGGTTTCAATTTGGACACAGAGGGAAAGCGGTAGTAATCTTGTTTAACAAGGTCTGCCATGAATTCCTTATCAAATGTCAGTTCATGATTCCCAGCAATCACTATTTTATATTCATATGGTAGGTTTCCTGAAATAACAAAAAAGAGGACTTCATTAGCACATTTCCTCCCACAACAAGCAGCCAGCCAGCAGTGACAGAGTGGGACACCCAAGGCCTGGGAGCATCTCCGTGCTGGGCACAGGACACGGATGCTGCTCCTCCTCCACGCCGTGGAACAGGGTCAAAATGCACAGGAATGGCACATAGAGCCATGCCACAGCAAAGAGCCCGTGCTGCAGGGCTCAGCAGCACCAGCTGCTGGAGTCAAACCAGCTCCAAAGGCAGCATCAAACACCACTGCAGGGTTATTCACCTCAGTGTGACCACAAGGCTTTAGTCCTCAGGAGTGACCTGCAGTGAGGAGCCTGGCAGGTGACCAGAGACTGCAGGATGCTGCCAGCCATGTCCTGAGAGCACCAGAGCAGACTGCTGGGGCTGGTGGGGTCTAAATTACGGCTTTGTAATGATTAATCTGTATTCCCGTGGCATTTACTTGTTGGAGCCCTGGCTGCTGAGAATTGCAGACTTTCTGTGCTGGCAGGCACTGACCCCCAGGAGAACTCTGCATTGACCTGAGGCTGTGGAGAAGCTTCCAAAATGGAATGGCAGAACTGGGATTATGGGTGTGGAGTTTGGATAGAAGCGTGTAACATCACAGGGTAGAAAACTTAAGAGTTTAAGGTTTTAGAATATAGTAATATATAAAAAACAAAATAGGGGCTTTAGGGCAGAGGCTGGTCCTTCTTCACCTTCTTCTCCATGGGTTTGGGTGGTTTTGTGCAATTGAATAAAAAAGTCCCCATTGCAGGCAAGAGTGGTTGGTTATTGGGTTAAAAGTAACAATAATTTCGGTGTAATTTCTTAATTTGACAGTTTATCCTTAAAAGGCCTTGTAGAGAGGGAGATACAGCTCCATCAGGGTTGGTGAGACTGTAGAATAAGAACTAATAAACATCTGAGTCCCAACAAGAAATACCATCTCACACATTCAACCCTGACCTTGGCAGAAAAGAAGCAAAGAACCCATATTTATTCAAGACCTGGTTTATTCCCCAAAGCTTCAATTCATTTGCAATGTCCTTCTATAATATTATTATTATTGTCGTTGTTGATGTTGTTGTTACTATGTTTATAGCAGTATCTCAGTTCTTGTAAAAAGCTCACACGTAGGAGCAACCACGAAACTCAGCCATGTAAGACAAACTCGAAAAAAGGAAAATTATTTACCATCAGAGTCAGAAGGAAATAATCACATGTTTGCTCCCCCCAGTTCAGGGGAACTAATACCGTTGTTTGGAAGGAGGCATGGATCATGCTCACAGAGCCAGATTTTTGGAGTTCAGAACAGATTTTCAAGCGCTTGGTACCAGCAATCAGTGCCAGATCTTCCAAATAAACATACTGGGTGCTGAGCTCCCTTAAAAATGCAGTCTTCACAGAAGTTAGGCTCTCTTACAAAATCTGTCCCCCTGTGACTTGCCAAAAATCACACGTAAGATTGCATCAAAGCTAACTGCTCCTGCCTTCACAACAAGCCTGATTTCTTAGCCTCATACCTTATCCTTCATTTTGGTGTTTAATACTAATAATTGTTTAGAAATTGTTGGTTTTGTTATGGGAATTTCTGTGCAGTTTGTCCTTGTTTTTTCCATAAAGGCAGCAAAATTCATGTAGAAATCTGTGGGTTTATCTTCCAGTTCCGGAACCCACAACATCTGTCCCAGGAAAGATAGAATCTGTTGTACATTTCTTGTGAGTACAGTTCTTCTAAATAGAAGTGGCTTTCCTAGTTTAAAACTTATCTTCCAACTTTCGAAACTGTGTGAGTTTGGGCTCTTTTTTAAAGTGAGTCTCAGAGTAAAGCTGTAAGTATATACAACAAGATTAACTTTTCCCCTAAATAGGACTTGCAGGGGAACTAGTTAAAGCCCTTTGATTTTCAGTATTTGCAGCACAGAATCAGGAATTGCATGAGGCATGTGTGCACAATGTGTTTCATCTTTGCAAAATTAGTTAATTCTGGATGGAAAACCAAAAAGCTAGAAATCCCTTGAAAAAACCAAGCAGACTATGTTTTTCATAGATACCTCAGGTCTGAACAAAATACATATTCATAACGCTCTGTGGTGCTGCATTAGAATAAAAGCTGGGGAGATGCAATAAATGCTCCTTTACAGTTTTTTTTACTCACTCCTTTCCCACCTTCCTCCCCTTCCCCATCTCTCCTATGTGCTGCTCTGCGATGCATTTTTATTTAAAAACTCTCTGTGGCATGTAGCTACAATTCCTGCTCTCTGTGACTCCTGGGCACGAGATAAAACTGCTATTTTCTCTTCTCCCAGGAAACATAAAAGATATCACCAGCATGAAATTTGATACACTTGTCATAACCATCAATCCCCCAAAACAAGCTAGGTGTGATAATATTCTCAGAGAAGTGGGATGGAGAAGTCAAATTCAGTTTTCTGCTAAGTTATCAACATTTGCCTGTTTTAGCACAGAAAACTCTTCATCTTACTTGATACATGTCCAAGCTTTACACTTTCATTTATTTTGATAGACTTGAAAACCAGCACGTTTTGCTGATATTATGCCAAATTAAGCCTGGAGCATTTTTGCTTAATTTTTTTTTTTTTTTTTTAATGAGGGCTTACTTTGAAGGCACACTGAACATGCAAAGGCAAACTAATGGTGACATCAGTAATTATTAAAACACATAAAGGTAGCACTATACAAGTTATATAAGCACCTGAAATCTGCAGGGGAAACCCAGACAGTATTTCTTGCAATCGGTGTGAAGACAGCTGCTGGTATTTTAAGGATTAAGACACATCAAAAGCTAGGGCAGCAGCAAGAGAAAGTCTCATTCAATCCTTCTCTCTTCCTTGACGAAAAAGACTACCTAGCACTAATCACAGTAATAAATTATTTGCAATCAGATCACCTATTTATTCATCACATTCTGGTTTTTCCTTCTTGAACAGCCCCCGTGGCATTGCACATCAACTCTCTCTGCTACCATTTCTGAAATATTTTGTTTTCTTTTGGCAGACCTGCCCTTTGTCTATAATCTGTTGACCTTGTGTTTAATGTGGAAACATGAACAGTCATCTTCAAAAATCTCCTGCTCCATGGTAATTTAGTTTTATCTTGACCAGATTAATCTCTGCATATCTGCATCAGTGCTGCCTAAACAATACACAGGTGGAAAGGCTTTTCCTCATTTTCCTTCACTAAATCTTTGTTATCCACATTTGGTCCTTATTTTAGTCTGATTTCCTAACTATCAAATCTGCCATTATGTGTCAGCATCATTCATTCCAAATTTATATTGCGACTCTGGAAAACAATTAGAAGAATCCTTTTCCATACTAGAAAAACTGGGATCTGTTTGCTGGGCCAAGCACTTCAGAAACCCCTGATATTAACTCCCAGCATAATAACTGAGTTTACTTAAAATACTTAAATGCTTAACAGGTGAGATCAGAAGGCTAAAATTACAGCTACCAAAAATGACCAGGGCACTAAGTCTGTGAAGCAGAATCACTTATACTGGAGTATTTGAAACCCATATTTATGTGTATATACATAGACACACACACAGGATCTATCTTCAAAATATATCTATTATTTTAGTTAAGATGTTTTTCAACAATTCTCAACAGTACCAGCAAGGGCACCATGTAATAATTGATCAAGAAAATACTGCAATTAGACAAGTTGTTCTCTTCTGGAAGCCAAGAGGTCAACACCACTCTTGCTCAAACAAAGGCAACAATGGTTATCTCTGAATTACTTGCAAAAATGAAATTATTTACAGTACATGCATTAATGTGGGAGTCTCAGAAAACTTCTGTGACTTCTGGTCTAACAAGTCAACCCTCAAGCTACAGTCCCAGGTACATTTGTCCCCCAGTGGCTCATCTTTACTCCTGTGCCATGGCACCTTCCTGCCAACACGGATTTGGTGGGCATAGAGCAGAGGGGATCAGGGCACTGATCCAGATGAAAAATGATGTGGCAAAAAAGGAGTGGGGGTCTGAATGCTACTAAGGCAGAACTTTTATTGCTGGCTGCAACCACTTACACCACTCCAAGTGTCAGCTGAACAACAGACTGGCTTTAAATATATCTATTACATGGTGCAAGAGGGCAAGCTTCGGGGCCAAGGGGTTGTAGAGTCTTTTTAACCTAAGTTGTTTCAGTGGGTTTCTTTAAATTCACCTTAAGCACTTGAAGCCTAGGAAGCCTTAATCTGTTGAAGAACCATTCCCATTTTAATAGCATGCTTCATGTGAGTACAGTTTAGTCACACAACCCAAGTTCTGTAGAGCTGCCAGACATGAAAAGGAGTGTGCCTGGCAGTGAACATTAACTGCTGAGTCCCTATAAAAATAGAAAATCACATTATTTTTCTGCTACTGTTACCTGAAAACCCCACAGGGAAGTAGGGGAATAAGAAATAATGCGATGCTAGCTGTCTGTAGAGTGGTAGAAACCTGTATTTACACACAAATGATATGCAAGGGCTTTTGACGCAAAGCTCTGAATATGCATACGCATGCATTAACTATTTAAACCACACAACACTTCCATGAAACATGGAGCTTTTTTCATGCCTGTTTCATAGCCTCATAAACCCTTTGGCCATATGCTGAGAAACAGGCTGAGAAGCCTTGAAATCTAAATCTTAAAAAGAGGGAAAACTGTACAAGAGAGAGATGTGCGTGCAAGTGAATCATCTCAAATTTACGGTATTTTGTGTATGCCCCAAAAGTGTAAAACTGGTCATGGAGCAGTTTTATAAACAGCCCCATACATTTCCAGGGATGAACACTGTGTGGCTTCTACAGACTTCAGTCCCCACAGCTGCAGCTGCTGAGGGCAACCAGCAGAGCCCAGCTCTGGTCAGCAGCTCTGCAACTTCTTCCTAGAGAGGTTTCTCATGGAAAGCCCTTGGAATCACAGGGGCATGGTCACTCTCTCTTCCCAGCATATACAGCACAGCCCCAACACACAGAGGCTCC